AGACACTGAAAGGCTACAGCAGCGTGGTGCAAAAAATTTATAAGCTATATCAAAAGTACAGGGAGGGAGTTCAATAGCGAAGGACGGATGAGAGAAGAAGACGTTTATGGTTTCATTGTATGGGCGGGACCGTCGGAAGTAGAAAAGAAATCAGGTCCAAAAAGAGAGTTGAAGTCGAAGACGATAGAGAAGTATCTGGCAGGATTAAGAGCGTGGCATATGACAAAACATCACGTAGAACTGAAATTAGATAAACAGATGGTGGATTGGTTAATAAAGTCCACAGAAAGAACAGAGGAGAAGAAGACACTCACAAAAGACGTAGTAAAGACGGAGAAGAAAGCGATAACCGTACAGCAACTTTTTGAGATGGTAGTAGAGCTCAATGAGAAGTCCTCACATCACGACTTGGCGATAGTGATAGCATTGGTCGCGTTTTGGGGGATGGCGAGGTTAGGAGAGGTGTTGAGAGAAAGGGTAGAAGACGGAGCGATGAAAGTAGAAGACCTGTCGTTTGAAGAAGGCAAGAAAGGAAAGATCGCGATACTGAAGTTGTGGAAAGCGAAGACGGCGAAGCCGGGGGAAGTACAAACAATTAGGTGAGTAGAGTGTAAGAGAATAGAAGGAAGGAAAGGAGCTAACGGATAAAACGAGAGACACAGGTTGTTCAAACAGAGATCAGTACTTGACCCGGTAGGCGCTTTAGAAAGACTGCTGAAGACGGAACACAAACAGAAGAAAGGAAGTGATATTCTGTTTTCGATAGCGGGAGAAGGTGAAAGACAGGTACTGTCGAAGTTAATATTCCTCAAGATGATGGGAAATATTTGGGGAGAGAGCGGAGTAAGAGAAGGGGAGTGGTCAGGACACTCATTTAGAGTTGGAGGAGCATCTTTAAGGTTCAACACGGGATGGAGGAAAGAGAGGATAATGGAAGAAGGGAGATGGAAATCATGTGCAGTAGATGTATACCTGAAGAAGTACACGGAAGAGGAGAAAGAAGAAACGAAACAATTTTTATGGGTGATAGACAGGAGGAATAGAGGAAGCGGAAATTGAACTTTACATGTAATAGAGATGGAATAACAGGCTTAAGAGAAAGATATGTTTAGATGCCGTGAGAATAAACAGATACTTACATAAGAGAGATTAAGAGACGGAGGAGAGAACGAGAGAGACAAGAGCCCGTGCGAGTTGTGGGATACTCAACGAGTTGAGACTCTCACGAGCCTCACCTAGATAGGAGGTATGAGTAACCCCCAAGGATCGACAAGATCGACGCGAACTCAAAGAGATCGGCGTTGACGTCAGCGGTAATTAAACCGTGACGCAAAAGCCAGCCGACCCCCCGCCCGGGCTCCCCCAAAATAAACATCAACCTCAGCCATATGAATGCGCCAAGGTTGATAAGAGTATAGTTTGTAACAAAACAAACTATAACGAGATGTGATCTTATAGTAACAAGAGAATAGTTACTATAAGACACATAACTAGATCTTACCTTCAAGTAAGAAACTCACAAGAATGGAAGGTTGAAGGCATTGGGGCGGATGATGGATTCTTGAGATAATATATTGTTAGGATTACTGGGACAGACTTCAGATTAAAGATTTATTAGAATTGGTATATTGATGTTACGGCAACGAATTGGAAATTATTTTGTCAGGACTAAGGAAGATGGTTACTGAGGTTACGTTAGAATTTTTCGAAATTGGGAATAAGAATATTATCATAAGTATTAAGGTCGGAAAGCGGAAAATTAGGTGGAAGACAATCTAAGTTGGTACTGGACGGCAAAGGAGTAATTATGAGGTGGAAGGTATTGGTAAAGAAAAATAAAATTAATTATAAAACATAAAGAAAAAAAATAAAATACGTCAAAGAAATAAAGTTAAAAATAGAACAAAATAGAAACATAAAAATATAATAACAAAACAACAAATGGGGTAAAAGGGAACGGATTTAAGGACTGGGTCTCAGATTTAAGTTGGGGGAGGTGGCTCAAGGTTACTCAAGTTGAGGTTTTTTATTCAAGTTGGGGGAGGTGGCACATGAAGTTTATACAAAAGATTTTTTTGGGTTTTATTACTTTTTTCAAGAAGAGCGGGGATGAAGATAACAAATCAAAAAGAGGAAACAGTCTATGTGCAAAGAGAAAGTGATAACAGGAAAACAAATGGTTGAAGAGAAAAAATAGGAAGAAGGAAAACAATTATTCAGTCTGGTCATGAGCTCTTTTCTAGCCTTGGTCTCTAGAGTTTTGGTTGCCGCTAGCTATAGAATCATAAAATTCAGGAGGATGAGAGGAAGAAGAAGGGGTCAAATCAGGATTATCAACAGGAGGAAAGTCATAATGAGCAGGACGAATGTGCTTGGCACCGGACAGGCAATACAACATATCTTGAGCAACAAGGTTTTTCAGTTGGTTGGTAAGGATTTTTCTGGCAAGACATTCATCAGGGTTGTAAGATTTCCATATGTTCCAGTGGGTAGTCAATAAAGAAAACATGGCCTCAGTCAAAGCGATAGTCGGGTCTCGGGGATCAACATGATGAGGAGTACCACCAAGTTCATTAAGTTTATCAGCTTCATCAATTGCCCGGGCAAACCATATCTTGGCACTAAGGTCCTTTCCAAAAATTCCGTTGAAATCTTCGATGTGTGTGCGGTCGTTGGGGTTGCGAGAAGGAGGACGGAGTTGAGGTTCAGGAGGAACAGAGGTTGACGTACTGGCGGAGGGTTCGTCAAAGTTGAAGGTTGAGTTGAAGTGAGATGGGATAGCAGGAGGTGAAGGTGGTTGTGGTGGAGTTGGTGATGAGGGTGGGGTTTCAATAAGGTCAACCATGGTGGTAGGTGGTATAGCTGGTGGAGATTCTGGTGGTGGAGTAGAAGGTTCAGGAGTTGAAACCTTGGGTGGAGCAGGAGTAGGTGCAGGTTTGGGTGGTGGAGCAGCAGTTGGGACTTTGGGCATGAATGCAGGTGATGGTTTGGATTTTGGGTTGGTGTAGAATGCTCGTGGTTGGGTAGGAATAGGTGGTGGTCTGGGTTGAGGTGCTGAGGTGGAAGCCTTGGGTTTGACAGGGACTTGAGGAGGAAGAGGAGCATTACCACCATTATTCCATAATCTGAGGTCAGCTTTCCAGAATTCAAGGTCAGCCGGTTCGGGACGAGAGGGTGCGCAGGTCCAGGCTTTGACTCTCTTCAAACGGGCAGCGGCGGATTCGAACTCAGGTCCTCGGACATAAGTGGTTGAGGGGGGATGAACTTGTATCTCATCACTTAAGTTTTCATAAGTAGTAGGCCACACTAAGAACAAATGGGGTGAGAAGGGTGACATGTCAGTATTAGGGGATTTTTTTTTGATAAGCAGGAGGATACAAGTAGAGGAGAGGACTTACCACAAGTCAGTTTGTCCCTGTGACATTGATTGCACCTTCCGTCACTGGTGATGGGGAGTGACTCATGAACCATCCAGGTACAAGACCGACTTTCATTCAGGCATTCTACACAGCTTTGAGGGTGGATAGGTGGAGCTCTCATGGTTGGTGGTGAGGGTGAGGTTGATGCGTAGAGGAGTTAAACAAAAAGAGGAACAAGAGTTTTTTTGAAGTTTAAGTTGATGAGTAGTGAAATCAGAAAGAAGAACAGGATTTTAAAAATTGGTGTTGAGTTTTGGGTATAGAGAAAATTTTTGGGATAAGTTGGTTGAAAGTTGAAGGGTGTGACAGTAATGGATTTTAAATTGGTTGATATGAAGGTTGAATAGAGGGAGAAAAATGATAAGGAAAAAGTTTTAGCTGAGGACAGCTAAATTGTTGGGGGAGGATGTGGAAATAAAAAATTACTCGAGTCCTTTTGGGACCTTTATATAGGGCTTTTTCTTTCTTTAAAAATTTTATTTTTTTCAAAGCCACTCTCACTCTCAGCTCAGCACAACTCATGCCAATTTTCGCTTTTTTTGGCTCATTCTGATTCATTACACTAAATAAGCCCAGGGGCAAGGCCCTAAGCAACATACTAACAACAACACTAGGCACAGAGGCTTTGGACAACAACACAAGTGAGACATTTTTGATTTTGGAGTCTTTTGGCTAAAAAAGGACTAGATGAAACAAAAGAAGAAACAGGTAGTCAGCAAGGAATGAGTTACAGAAGATAAAAAAAGAAAGGACTTACCTGCATCGGTCGAAAATCGAAAATCAATTTCGATTTTGAAGGCCAAGGGTGGAAGATGGTAGTGAGGGCTGTGGAGGTAGAACAGGACAGAGAAGAAGTTAGAAGCTAAAAAGAAAGAAGATGAAAGATAAAAGAAGGGGCTTACCTGGATTGATCCAGAAATCGAAATCGATTTTGATTTCGGAGCCAAGGTAGCGAGGCGATGGTGATGGTGGGCGTTTCACATTGGAACAACTTAAAAATCGAATCGTTTCGATTGGAACAACCTAAAACGAATAAAAAAAAAATAATAATAATAATAATAACAGTTCAATCAGTTGGAACTGGTTAGAAGAACAAGATGAGAGAAACAAAAAGAAGACCTTACCTAGGTTTTGATTAGGGCTGAAGAAGAATCGAGCGTTGGCGTATAAAAAGGGAGTTTGGAATCGATTGTTTTTCTTTTTTGCTTGTCTTATCGCGTTAGAAGTAGAGTTAGAAATTGATCGATCGAGTTAAGAAAGTTGTTAGTGTTGTGTTTGTTTTCTGTCTTTGATTGAAGATAGTAAAAGAGAACTGACTGTCAGTCAGTTAAATTGAAAAGGAGGTCTTTTCTGCTTTCGTTACCTTTAATCGTTTGGGTCTTGAGTCTAACATCGAGATCCGTTATTAAAATAAAACCCTTATAATTAATTTAAAGAGTCTTATCGGTGGGATTTTGAAAGTTGGATTTTATTTTGATTTTATTATTTTTTTTTGCAGTTTCTGACTATTAAGTCAGAAACCTTAACATTAAGTAGTTTTAAGTAGGTTTTTAGCAATTACAAGTGTAATTGGCTGGAATTTAAGGCTACTAGGGTGTGTAGGGTAGTTTTGGGATTGGTAGAAGTTGGGGAACAAGGTTTAGGTGGAATTTTCAAGGTTTTTTTAAAGTTTAATTATTTTTTTACTTGCTTCGGGAAGTTTTTTGGAGACCTGCATTGGGGAACGTAGTAAAAAACAGCTTGTTTACATCTGTTTTTGAACCGTAGGACCTTTCCGGGGATTCTTAAAGCTTAACTAAAGCTTGTAGATTGGATAATCAAGGTTGGAAAGTTTATTTTTGGTGATAGAAAGGTTGGCGAGAAGTGTCTCACTGTATTTTGAGGGCAGCTTAGCGGCGTTTCAGTTACGGCTCTTGGCGGTTTACCCGACTTGAGTTGTTTCTTCCCCTCGAGGCTCTGCCTACGCTCCACAGCGTAGGAGTTCTACAACGGTTTACTCAAGTTGAAGGAAGGCAAATCCGAAGAAGAATGGGAGATATTTAAAAAGAAGGTGGTTAAGTGTTATGACCAAGAGCTCGAAATCAAGCGATCCAAGATACATAACCCTGTCAAGGTTTACCAGCGTAAGACATACAACAGGAAGAAAAGATCACAAAACAACAAGTAAACTTGAACTTATATGTGTTTTCATTTTGATTCGCTTTACAATCTTCAAGGGTCTTGCTTCTTTGTTACCTTCTAATTCTGAAATAAGTACTGTTTTACTATTTTCTATCCCGCGTTGTATGAAACTATAAGTCCTCCGTCTGTGTAATGCATTATGATTGTCCTTGAACCACTCTCATCACACCTTCCCAGGGAGATAATTGGTTCAAAGAGAGTATAAGGCGATGTTTTGCAAAACATATATTTCTTATGGTTCCATTTCTTACCTGACTTGTACATAAATATGGGTCGTGACTGCGAGATATGACCAGAGTGAATAATCAAGTCTGGATACTAAGCACACTGAACATGACAATTATCGAAATAGTAAAAAATTTATTATTGATTTAACGTATGATTATCATAAATAAAGCAAAGACTTTTGAATTTTGAGCAATAGAGTCCAATCCGCTATTGACTACTGTTTTGACCACTGGTGCCTACAGGGTTCGCAGGAAAGTTGGGAGGACCACCATATGCTTTGATCCATCCTCTTCGCCATTCTTGTTCCCTCTCCAATTGCCATAAGTTCCCTATGGTATCAAACGAACTTGGAGATGAAGGTCTTCCTTTGCCCCCCCTCCTAGAATGACATGTTAGCTATTGAGGATTGATCACACTATTTTTGATGCGAAGGGAGACATAAACCTGCGAAAAAAGACTCACGCTGACAATTCGGCCGCTTGTTCTTCAGAAGGAGTATAATAATAGTACCGAAAGGACATGCCATCTGCTTCTGAAGGTGTGACCTCACCCTTGCGGATTGCCTCCAATCAGAGAAACTCACTGGCAGTCTGATGCGGAGTCGCATCCTCCGCGTTTAATTGCTGAATGCTCTTTTCATCTAACTTAGTATAGTTTGATGAAAAGAGGTCTTCAAAGGGTTGGATGTCCCCAAACACCTTTTGAAGGGTGTTGTCCCCATCCTGAACGTGGGTTTGGCTTGTGGCTGAATTAGTTGACGGTGGCCAGATGCTATGTCCTTCAGGTTCGCCCCATCCTAGGAGAACAGTGCAGTGGCCTGACTGTGACATAGGCACATCCTGCTCTGTTTCGTGTATCCAGAGTTTTGGTGCCATGCTTGGTCTGTTCAAATGATAAGCATTATTATTAGTACGATTGAACAATAAGAGTATGACATCCGAGGTTCACTCACTACTTAGATGAAGTAAAAGTTGCTCGATATTCAGAAGTGCAACCAATGTAGAACGAGTTGAGTCTGTATCATCAGGAAAAAGGTCATATGGCCATAATTAACAAATGATCAAGAAGTTAAAAATTTTGTTGTACTGTACCTTTGAACTATGATCAAACCAAAATTATCCTTGATGGATAAGGGAAACAATGATAATGGTATTTAGGTGAGGTATGTGGAAAATGAACAATTCGAATAAAATCGGGATAGAGTGAGTCAGGATGTTATCTTTTGGATGGACAATTACGACAATGTTTTTTTGTATTTCAAATAAAATCTGGAAAAAGTATAAGTCAGGATGTTATCTTTTGGACAATTACCACAAGAATTGTTTGGCCAGTATGTTGGAGTGTTAATTACGCGCAAAAACCTTTGCTGCTATATATATATATAACAGCAAATCTGCTCCCAAAACAAACTCATGTGTGTATACAAAATCAAGTATATGATTCCTCTCCTTTGTAAAATCCCCAATGTTTGGTTATGGATCTCTGATATTCTATTGCAAATAGAGTTCTGATGAGAATGTTTCTTATACAATGGTTAATACTAATTAACCATTGTATGATGAGAAGTTAGCATTACCATGTGATCATCCGGTAATGCTAATCAATCAATGTATTATATTACAAATATATAAAGGTGATTTATATATACTAACCTTATTGATATATATATATATATATTGGAGCTTCCCCCAAGCTCAAATGTGTTAGGACGCATGTGGTGATTCAGCCAATGACCAAACCTCACTCAGAAGATCTCATGAATTCTAACACATGACTTGCTCAGATAAGATCTTCCTCGAAGTGATGATCAATATCATGAAATGATCATCACATCACTGCATATATTAGAAACGTGCACGGCATGGGTGGTTGCAATGCCGTGATGAGATTCACTTATTACACGTACTACGCTTGGTCATGTCTCAGTTGAGGTTTTTTTGATCATCATCCACTTTCTATGTATTATAACAACATATCAAATTTCTGTTTGCCACAAGCAAAGGACAAAGATGCAGTCACCTTGCATCTTATATATATATGCAGTGGATTTGTTTGCCATAAGATATTAATATTGAATTATCTGTCATAAGAAAGTGTTTCCCACTTACCTTATTTTTGGGGAATGTCTGGCTCCCATCTGGTCTTACTTGGGCATTGAATGATTTTTTATGCAGGTTTTAGAAGGCTGTTTATCAAAAACTGCATTAATATTGTATTATCTGTCATCAGAAATCATTAGAATTTCCCACTTACCTTATTTTCGGGGAATGTGAGGCTCCCATCAGGTCTTACGGGGGCATTAATTGAATGATATTTGTATGCAGCTCTTAGATGGTTGTTTATCAACATCTGCATGACCTTTTGAAACCAGCACGTTTATCAAAAGGTCATGCAGAAACATGCATGACAAGCATGCCAACACAGTACATGAGTTGCAAGGTTTAGAACTTGTTAAGATTGAAGAAAGCCAGCCATCTTTCTAACTTCCATTAACCAAGAACCAAGACAGGACACATAAACAAGACAGGGCGCATAAGGTATATTTATGAGGAATCAATTTTACCACATCATGTAGTGGTAAACTATTTTTCCAAGGATCTGATCTTGGTCTCTAACTTCCATTAACCAAGACAGGACACGTAACAAAGACAGGGCGCACAAGGTATATCTGTGAGGAATAAAGTTTACCACATCATGTTTGACCCATTATTTGTCCAAGGTTGTGAACTGGGACAAATGGTAGCCAGTTCATCTTTCCACCTTATGCGCCATGTTTCATCAGAAGCATAAAGCACACAAACTCCTGGCCAGGGTGTGTGTGGATGTGTAAGAGGTTATCTAATGATTTGACGGGTGTGAAATCAAGCTAACCTACAGTGGCCTTCATTTCACACACGTGTCACAAGATCATATAGCCCATTGGAAATGAAGGTATGTCAAGTCTTGGAAATACCACTCTTTGACGAATATTACTCCTAGTTTAACATGCCCAAATTTGAAGGAGTCCATCAGCCTTTTCATCCCAAAAAGCCTTACTGGATGAAGGAGCCAAAGACTGAACTACAGAAGAAGCATTTTGAAAAAATGCGAGCGGCGGTCAAACATCGGAATCAGTCATCAAATGTCCACAGTGAACCTCAGGATAATGTGGATGGTCATCATGATTATGGACTTATGGTAGATCAGCAAGATGAATATGAACACGACTTACCTCGACCCGAATTTGTTGATGAAATAGAACAAGCTCGACTCGATGACGAAAGACAAGCACGAGATCGTCTTCTTGCCCAGGCAGCAGAAGAAATGTTCTGCGCATATCTGGCCTGCTCATTGAAGACGAGCGATTGGGGAAATCCAGCAACATGGGACCATGATCACAAGGTTGCATGTCATTGCCATCCTAGCCAATGGCGTGAAAGTAATGTGGATTTGGTTGACCTATCTAGTCTGTCCTTCGATTCACTCAAACTTGAATTCACCATACTAATACCACTACTTGGTCTTCATTAAGTGCGTCGCAAGGCTTGAGTCCGGTTTTGTCAGTGTCAGAAAAACGATCAAACTCGGCTTATCCTCATGGGTTTCATTGGTGGTTCCCCAAAACACCCGAGGACCGCATTCTCCATACAACTACTGCGTTTTTTCCATATCTTATGGAAGTTTTGTACTGTTCGGATTGGCCCGTTCACAAGAGCTCTTGATGAGTTCCTTGATGCATTCTGTCCCCTCATCCTTACCAAGCATGAAAACGTATGTATGTTCCATTATGATTTCTTGGATAGATATGCAGTTGCTGACATTCTGTACCTGTACCTAGCCTCGCCAATGGCACACACCTATGTATTGGGCTGTGGATGCCTATCGGGAGATGCTATCAATGACTGAATCAGTAATGGACGGATCCCTGAACATCACTCCACTGGACAAGGTTGCCGCCAACTGTCCTCGCTGTTTTGGCCCACCTGTCCAGATCGAGTCAGTACCTATGGAAGCAGACATCGTCGTTTGCATGGACGGAAACTTCCAGCATTGTCGACACATAGCAGCCGGGAATAAAGCTGCCAAGAAACCTATCAAGATGCCGCCACTGTTCATTCCGAATGAACAAGTCAACAACATGTGTTCCCGACTCGCCGGACAGGATGATGATGATGTTGTAAGTCATGTGTCATCCACTTCGTTTGCTCTTGACACCTGGTGATGTGGTCACATTTTACAATCTTGGGATGCAGCAAGCTTGCGCCGATCAGCATACCACAGCCAATGACACTCGTGGTAAAACTCATTGGGGTGGTTGTGATGAAACAGGCCTCATGGGGATGGTATGCCGTCACGACCATTCCCTTCGATTTGCGAATATTGTGCAAAGTGGTGAAAAGTGAGTGTATCACAATAAGTTTTCAATATGTCCCAGTATATTAACATCCCATTATTTCAGGCTGCACTACAGCTACTCATTAATTGAGTGGGTTTTGGACTTGACCCGTAACCTTGGTCCAACTCCTCGAACAATCATTTTCTTGTACGACATTGGATGTACAATGCAGGCTGGCATTGATAAAGTTAGTGTTTATACACAATTGGTACCAAATTATTATTAATATAATCATTTGATTTGTTCAAAGCGTGGAACATTTCAAGAGGATCAGTTAAACGGACGTATCCGATTTGGCACCAGCGTTTTCCACGCCTATGTGCATAGGTGGGGATGCCAGTTGCAGTGGAATCCTTGGCTCAACATAGGATTTGGCCTCTCTGACGGTGAAGGAAGCGAGAGGGTGTGGTCAGGCCTCAATCCACTTGTTCCTACTCTGAGATATGCTACCGCGCAACACCGAGTCAACGCGATATATTTTCGGTCGTCACATGCTAATGCGCAGCTTCGTCATGAAGCTGGTACATTATCCATCATCTGTTAATAATAATTTATTTAATATAATCATCGGGACAAAAATGTGCTGATTGCAATCATCTGGTTATAGTGAATCATTATTGTCAAAAGAAGAGTGAGGCCAGGAAGCGTCTTGAAGAGGCTGAAGTCACACTCAACACGCTAGAATCCCCAGGTGATGGCTGCCCTGGCCGTGACGCTGCTTATTTTGAGGGCAGGTGGATGGCCCAACGAGCTCAACAGCTGGATGTCATCGAGGAAACACAGAAGGAGAAAAGGGAGAAGATAAGTGTGTTGCTGAATTTGGAGGAAGGACTTCATGTGGCTCTGTAAGTGTTAGGGCTAGTGAAGCCAACCTGTCAAGTTACCTGACTTGCTGTTTTCATTTATACCCACCACTCAACTTTGAAGAGGCCGTCTTGATACGTTGCAAACCACGCAGAGACGTGCACGGACTCAAGCTGAGCGAAATGAGCTCGTAGCACTGCCAGAAACAGTGGTCAATTTTGAAGAACGCATCAAAAAGGTGGCGGCCGAACTGGGTGGTCATGAGTATTGAAGATTATTGGGGGTCAACGGTAAGCCAACCCATCATTAGTGTAGCTGCTTATGGCATATAAGTTTGATATGTTGATGTTGTGCTAAACAGCCAAACAAACCAATGCAATCCTTGCCATTTCAATTGCGCAAGCCAAGTTGTACAAGGCTCGAGTAGGTGTGATCGAAGCCAGATTGCGTCAGCATTGCAACACAGGTATGTGTCTTTGCATTCATTTAAAAACACTGGGTGTTTTAATTTTTGTCTGACGGGAAGGCTCTGAGATCACTACAGGCACTCGACAACAGCAGCAAACGGGCCGCCAAGTTCGTGATAAAATAGCTAACTTATGAAATAAGTACAACACTTATAAGTGCAGGGTCCAGAAATACCACAAGGATTTCCGCCGAAGACCACGCGTGGACCTTCCAGACTTTAAAGCCATC